AGTGAGATAGTATGTCCTACCCATAGTCCCCTTCCCCACTCGGTGGTTTATGGAGTCACCTCCTGTTCACTTTTCTGAGTTACTCAGAAAACTTTAGCTTTTCATTTTCTTTCTATTTTGGATACTGGCCAAAGCCTAAGCATGCTTTCCCTGGCATTCTGTGTTTTCCCATTCTTTCTCTGAAGCTCGCCTCCATCTTCCACGTGTAGCTGCCTGCCAACCTCCCAATGCTTGCCTTCCTCTCCCCCTTCTCATCACGCCCTTCCAGGCAGCTGCTGAGATAGATGTGCAGCCTTCCTGCCTTGCTGCTTTTCTCTCAGTTTCCACCAAAGTTATCCCTCTGGGCTGGAGAGATGGCTCAGTGGTTAAGAGCACTGATTGCTCTTCCAGAGGTTCTCAGTTCAAAGGTTCTCAATTCAATTCCCAGCAACCAGATGATGGCTCACAGCCATCTGTAATGAGATCTGGTGCCCTCTTCTGGCCTGCAGGCGTACGTGCAGGAAGAATACTGAAAACATAATAAGTAAATAAATCTTAAAAACAAAACAACAACAACAAGAACAACAACAAAAACTGCCCTTGAGCTTTCTTCAGAGTCTCCATTAAGATTCTTTTATTAACAGATTAGAGGAAAACCTCAGTTTCTCTGGTAACACTGGTTCCTTTTTTTTATGACTTTTTTTCTTTGTTTATCTTCCCTCTTAAAAGGAAATCATGAGAAACTTCGTGTACTATGGGACGTTTCTGAGGGTCCCTTTGGTTGTGGCTGTTGTTCTCACTGACAATTCGGATGCAGATGGCTAGCAAGCAAACTATCTCTTCAGAAGAGGAAGCATATAGAAAGTAAAGTGTGTGCTGGTGGGAAGCTAGCTCATCTCACAAATGAGAGGGGCTTGGGGTAGCTCAAAATTGTTTTACTAATTTGTGTGTGTACACATGTGTGTATATGTGTGAGTGTGGGAGCATGATAGCACGGCATGGACGGAGAACTTGCAGGAGTCAGTTTTCTTTTTCTACCACATGGGTACCTGGAATCAAGCCCAGGCCATTAGGCTTGGTGACAAGTGCCTTTACTCCCTAGGCCGACTATCAGGGTTGGGGTGAGGGTTTTTTGTTTTGTTTGCTTTCCAACTTGAAGATGTTGAGGAGCAGGGAATATTTAGTTAGGATTCTTTTTTGTTTGTTCGTTTTCTCTGTGGCTTTGGTGGCTGTCCTGGAACTAGCTCTTGTAGACCAGGCTAGTCTCAAACTCACAGAGATCCACCTGCCTCTGCCTCCTGGGTGCTGGGATTAAAGGTGTGCACCACCACTGCCCGGCCTTAGTTAGGATTCTTTGATTAGCCCCACCTTTCAAATGCTAGAGCCAGCTGTCTACCAGACTTGGGCATATACACACCTTTGTTTTGAGTTGTGGGCATTGCTGTCAGTACTGTCATTACTGGGGTGTTCCCAGCCAAGAAAGCAATGCCAGTGGGTTGGTAAAGGGCACAGAGATGAACCACTCAGGAGATGATTTCAGGGAACATTATCTGCTTTATGCATTTGAGCAACCACTTATATAGTGGAAAGAATCAAGGCAGGCTGTTATGATATGGCTCAAGAGGGACCTTGGAGGGTTGTAGCCAAGGAGCCCCACAGTGCCCGAGAGACAGACACTCCATGCAGACAGTGCTCATGTGGAGAGTTTTAGGGGGGTGGTGGGAGGGAGAGAGAGGAGAGAGAAAGGGAGCGCAGACCAGCCTTGTGGGAAAAGAAGAGACAGAGAAGCAGATGTACAGAGAGAGGCAGAGAGTTAGAGAGAGAGAGCGACAGAGAGGCAAAGAAGTAGAGAGAGAGAAAGAGACAGAGATACAGAGATGGGCAGGAGAAACGAAGAGGAAGAGCAGGCAGGGTTCTGCCTTTTTAAGGGACATAGCTGTAGTGACGAAGATCAGGGCCCTGAGCAGATCAGAGTACTGCCTGAGTATTGGCAAGCATGTGTGTATAGGGGTGTAGGGGTGACACACTCTGCCAGGTCTCCAAGGGGCGGGCCAGGTGTGCCTGAATGCTAACACAGGCTCTGAACTGCCTAGTTGTCTAGGGTTGGAGAAATTTCCAGAACGCAGCACAGGGCTGGGGAACTTAGGCAGCACCTGGCAATATCTCTGAATTGAGGCGACAAAGAGAAAGAAGAATTCAGAGGGTCTGAGGGGGCTCAGATCCATGGGTTAAGTGCTTGAACACAGGACATGGTCAGAAATTTTCACTGTGGAAACCTGAGTTCATTATCAGCCTCCTCATGAGGCCGTATAAGAAAGGCTTACAGAAGAGAAAGTTGGTTATCAGGGGCTGTAATATAGGTAATTAATGGAATTTATATGCATATTTTCTCTCTGTGTAGTTGTGCAGTCCTGGCTGTACTGGAATTCTCTCTGCAGATCAGGCTGGCCTCAAACTCACAGAGTGAATGGGTGAATGGCCTGCCTCTGCTTCCTGAATGCTGGAATTAAAACCACCACCCAGCTTGTGGTACCATTTTTCTTTTTCAAGACAGGGTTTCTCTGTATAGCTTTGGAGGCTGTCCTGGAACTTGCTCTATACACCAGGCTGGCCTCGAACTCACAGACAAACGCCTGCCTCTGCCTCCCGAGTGCTGGGATTAAAGACTTGTGCTGCCACTGCCCAGTTTGTAGTACCATTTCTACAGCTCATGGTATGAAACTTCAAATAGGCAATTTGCAAAGCTAGTGTGGGTAAAGTTCCTCTTCAAGAGCTGTGGACTTAGGTTGGCTGTCAACTTTCCTAAGTTAGGACCTCAGGTGACATACTTAAGTAGTATTTTTTTTTTGTTTTTGTTTTTCAAGACAGGGTTTCTCTGTATTGGTTTGGAGACTGTCCTGAAACTTGCTGACCTCGAACTCAGAGATCTGCCTGCCTCTGCCTCCCGAGTGCTGGGATTAAAGGCATGCACCACAACACCTGGCTTTTAAGTAGTGTTTTTCTACTAGTTTAGTGTATTCCTGGCTTAGAGAATGCTAATAAATTTATAGAGAAATTTCCTGGGAATAAAAATATTGTACCGAATATAACTTGTATGAACTGTGTGTGGCTGTTAACAGCAAATTTTGAGTTCTAAATACCTGTCTCTAACTAGAAAGTTCTGTGCAAGGTAAAAAACAAAAGCCAGATTTAAAATTAACTTGACAAATGTTCTTTTGACAAGTTGTGTGTGTGTGTGTGTGTCAGAGGACAACAGTCCTTACTTCCCACCTTGTTTTGAGGCATGGTATCCTATTTGTTGCTGACAAATCAGGCTAGCTAGCCCAAGAGCTCCTGGGGACTCGCCTGCTTCTGCTTCCATTTTGCAGCCAGAGTACTGGGATCATAGATGCTTGCTTTTGTGTGACTTCTTGACATTCAAAATGCAGTCCTCACGATTGTGCAGCAAACGCTGTACCCACTGAGACACTCCTCACTCCTGCTCTCTGCCTCCTCTTCACTCTACACTTAATTCTTATGTATATGAACAAACTTTACCTAATGACAAATAAGAATTGAGTAGAAAGCAACAAGTTACACATTTGGGTCCACTTTCTCATTGCCCTATCAGTAATTCTGCTGCTCTTTCGAACATTGTCCTTCTATGAGAGGGATGCCCGTTTTGTACAATTTGGCCATGCCAAACATCGGCTTGATGCAAGGTGTGCTTACTGTGGCTAGCATGTGGAGAGCCAATATTACTCACTATGTAGGTTAAGTTGGTCGACAGTGTTGTTCAGCTCTTAATCCGGAATTATTTTGTCTACATGTTACATTAAGTTTTAGAGACCTAACCTTTCCACTAGTAACTATGACTTAGTATATTTTTGCCTGTTATTAAGTAAAAACCTATTATGTACTTTTAGTGAACCCCCTCCACAATTTTTTTGTTATTAATGACCTTCTTTACCGTGGTAAATAATTTTTTCATTGAACTCTACTTTCTTAACATTAATGTAGCCATTCAGCTTTATTTTGATTTATCTTGAAATAACATATCTTCTTCTGTCTTCTGTAGTAAGTTTGCATGTTAGTGTTTAAATTGATTTCTTATGAGAGGTTTTATAATTGGGCCTTATTTTTCACCCATTTTGCTACTGACTGCCTTCTAAATGAGATATTTAGACTATTTGCATTTAATGCCACCAACTCTGTTCTCAATCCTTCTGTTGTTTTTCTCATCTCATTGTTTCTTGTCATTTTCTTTTCTTCTTTTCACTTAAAGGCAGAGTTTCTCTGTGTAGCTCTGTTTGACCTGGAACTCACTCTGTAGACTATGCTGGCCTCAAACTTGGGAATCTGGCTGCTTTGAGTGCTGGGCTACTTTTCTCTGTTTTCTTTTTAAGTTAATTTTTATGATTCCATTTAATCTGCTTTGTTGCCTAATAGCTTTGTCTACTTGACTAACTATTTTATTAGCTTTTGAATTATGACATGTCTTAGAATCTAAGTGACATTGTAGCACTCTGTATGATGTGTGACATTTCAATTTTTCCCTTCTAGTTTCCCCAAGCTGGGTTGCTAATGCCCCATACTTTAGTTTAGTCTGTGTCACATCCTGTAAATACATGGTTGTTATTTTTGCTTTAATCAGCCAATAAATAGTTATCCTTGAAGTTAAACATCATTTCTTTGTGTGACACCAGATTTCAATTTTCTTGTATCTAAAGCCTTTCTTAGTATTTTTATGATGAGATCCAAAGATGATTCTTTAAGTTTAGGTATCTCTGGAAAAGGCCTTTCTTCCATATTTGTTTTTAAGGATATTTTCACTGTGGGTGGTATCTTAGAGCTGTGGCCTTTTTTCATTGTTAGTGTCTCCATGGCCCCTTGCTGATGCTACCTTGATGGCTAATCTGCTCTCTCGTCTTTGTTTTTTCTGATACAGCCTGTCTTTAAGCTGGGTTTGATGTCCTGCTTTCAGAAACCTGTCCAGTATTCCCACATCTATGCTCACACTTTGCTCTTATATTTAAATACAGGCCTGAAGTCGTAGGTGATTTGCCTCTGCCCCTCTTGAAAAACAGTTTTCAGACTGTCCAGTGCAACTGCAGTGTTCGGGAATGTGACTGTCATGTGCCAGTCCCAAGAGACAAACTCAACCACTCTCTTCTGATGTATTTGGAAATGACGTCTGCCGGTGTGACCTTTCAGTCACCTCTAATGTCAGTGCAGCCCATGCTTGTCGGTAAGTTGCACTTCAGAGTGACAGTGATACTGAGAAATCAATCATGAGAAGGGGTTGAAAGGTTGCTTATGGGTAAAGATTTCCACTGACTTACATCATTTTAATCAATACTGAAAACCATGGTAAATGCAGTACTAGATGTTATAGGCAGCCACACCAATGTGTTCACAGTAGTAAATGTCTCTAACCTTAGCACTGAAGTGGTCCTGTGAAATAGCTGTGGCCTCTTTTAGTCTTGGATTTAGAGAATGGATGTGTATTCTTTGACTATCACCTGTTTATATTTCAGATAACTGTTTCTGAAAATTGTTAAAAACCTTTGTTGTTTTGTTTTGTTTTGTGTGTGTGTGTGTGTGTGTGTGTGTGTGTGTGTGTGTGTGTGTGTGTGTGTGTGTGTTGTTTTTGGTCCTGGGAGCACAGTAAAATTTACATGTTGTTTAGTGTTAAGTTATTTCTGCTTAAAATAAATTTGTAATAATTCACAAAAAATAAGTGTCATTAGGTTGAAATAAATGAGAAGACAAAAAAATCCCAAAAACAAAAACAAAAATACCGGGCAGTGGTGGCACATGCTTTTAATCCCAGCACTCGGAGGCAGAGGCAGGCGGATCTCTGTGAGTTCGAGGCTGGGCTGGACCGACAGCCTCCAAAACAATACAGAGAAACCCTGTCTTGTAAAAACCAAAAAAAAAAAAATACCCTCTCAACATTCCTGAACAGATGGGATGTGTGAGAACTAAGCCAGTTTTGGTTTAAAATATAATGCAAGCCAGTAAATTTGTTATACTAATGGTAATTTCTACAAACTCAGTAATTCCTATTAATTGTCCAAACGTTGCAGTGTGCAGAGGAGAAATATATATAGTTTACCATTAATACACACTTCTGATCTGCAATATATTCGATTTGCTATTTTAACAACTCAAGAGTGTAAGTGTGGAGACCGACGTCCGCCTTGCAAAACACTTGTTCTTGCAGAGGCTTCAGGGTTACTCCTGCACCCACACAGCAGCTCACAGCTGCCTGTAAGTCCAGCTCCTGGGATCCCAAGGTCACCTCTGATTTCCTGGGTACTTGAATGCCTGTGCGTACACACACACACACGCACACACACACACACACACACGCACACACACACACACACACACGCACACACACACACACACACTTTATAAAGAAAAGTGTGAATTTGTGATAGGTCTCTTGAACTTCAGAAGTTAAACATTTTCAAGATTCTACTACAATGTGATTTTTAATGGCTGCTTAAATTTCCTTTATGACATGAACCATAATTTAGTAATCTTTACCTGTAAGATATTTAAATTATTTCTTCACAAATCTAAAAGGTTTTCTTATGGTTGACATAACAAGTATCTACATATACACATATACATACAAATGCTACATGCACACATACGTTTGAACTCAAAAATCATTTACCCGGTTAAAATCCTCATTAAGCTAAGAGTCCTCACTCCTATGTCTAGAGACAGTCAGGCCTTACAATGGCATGGGAGTGTACGTTCTGAGTTGAGTAGTTGGGTTTGGATTGTTATTTTGTGTGAATAGATATGCTGACTTTTGCCAGGTCTGTGCATTTTCTGAATAGTGTTCTGCATACTGCTGTTGTCCTCACGACCAGTGAAAGCAAGTACAGTGACTACAACTAGGCAGAGACTCCAAGTTTGAAAACTACTAGGCAAAATGAAGTGAGGCAGACTTCTTATAGGAGGAAATCACATTGATCAAAACAGTCCCACTGACTTATAGGCTTTCCCACACCATGGAAAGAAACAAAGACTGCTTTGCTGGGATAAGTATGGTACAAGAGAATGGCCCACCATGTGTTAACTCTGTAAGCAGTCTTCCAAGGATTTAACTTTTTAAGTATTTGAAAGGCAAGCTATGCTGGCAATTCATCTCAACTTCATTTTATTCAGATATGATTGCCGTGAAAATTGCCTGAGTTAAAAATCTTATTTTTTTCTTTCCTCTTAAGTGAAGCCTGATCCACCATTAGGTTTGCATATGGAAATCACAGACGATGGTAACTTAAAGATTTCTTGGGATAGCCCAACAGTGCTACTGTTTCCACTTCAATATCAAGTCAAATATTTAGAGAATTCTACAGTTATAAGAGAGGTAAGTGTATTTTGGGAAAGAAAGTGAAACTTTGAGAAGCAATTAAAGATGCCCAAATCTGTTAGAAATTACCCTTGCCTGCTAAACATGTCTGTGCTTTCTAGAGAGGATTGGATTACACTGAATATTACATGTTGAGATAATTTATACACACTACAGGAAGTCCAGCTATAAAATTTTAATATAACCATTTCCATCTGTCGAGTGCTGATTTCCATTGCGTTCTTACTTGTTCATCGCTCAGTGTGTTTACACACAATGTGTGCATTTGTATTGTGAAGTCAGTCAGCATCCTCTTTCGCTTGTGCCAAAGTGTTTTCTGAGTGTCTGTTTGTTGCCAGGAGCTATTCTAGATGCAGCAAGATAACTTGGGTCAAAGAGGATGGGGAAAGATTGTTAAGTGGAGGTTGGGGCGTGCCTCATTAGGAGGGTGATATTTGAGCAAGGATTTGGAGGAGATGGCTCTGTTGGTATCTGGGGACCTGGATGCCAACTAGGTGGGACAGCAGTGCAGGAGGCCAGTGTGGCTGAGGCTGACCGTGAAAACAACTGTGGCAGTGGACAGCATCAGAGACAGGAGTGGGTGGGGAGGAGGAGGTCATGAATGGCCTGTGGGAGTCACGTGAATGCATTCACAGCACATAGTGAACCTAAGTGTTGCGTCATTCCAAGGTAGAAACTGATCTTTTTAGAACTGTTACTTTTCTGAGGCCTTATTTTTGCAGAGTACAGTTTGGCAACCCTCGATGTCAGGTGTGTTCATGCAGAGTTAAGGCTTCCGGGAGATACTTCCTCATCTGCAAGTCAGAAATCACAGGACTGTACATACAAAGGTCCTGATATTGTTCTAGCATTAGTAAGTCGGAAAGCTCAGAACTATAAAAGTGAAGGCACTGATATTGTTCTAGGCATGCCTTATGCTATTTGCGATCTTTAACCTGTGACCCCTTTCTTCCTCTCCCAGTCTTGAAGAGAGCAGGGAGTTCAACTGAAGCACGTTCCTGGAAAACCGAATGTACTGCACAGGCAGATCTTAGCTACAGTTTGTTTTCCACAGGGTTTGGCCTTAGATGTCATCCCTCCCCTCTGGTTTATAAACAGTGTGATGACTCATGCCCTGTAGTTCAGGGTCAGGGTGTAGCCACCAGGGCCAGGATGTCAGTATCCTTCATGTCCTTCTTCTTGTGCAGCTGTCCTCTCTAGGACCCTTACAGCCCCCCCCTCCATCCATTGTTTTCTACCAGATGTACAACGGATGGCAAAGTGGCTACAGAATTCCCAGTAACTTTGGCACCATTTCTCAAAAATCCTAAAGACCATGTTGGCATTAGTATTCAGTTAATATTTGTTAATTGTCACAATTGTTTCATCTACAGGCTCTTTAATTTTTTCTTGACAGATGCATATTTTTTTTCCACTTGGTCATTGTTTACTGTTTTAATTCTGTGGCCAGACAGTTCATCTGTAAGATTTTACTTCTCTGAGATTTGCCGAGGCTTACTTAGCAGTTTTGGCAAACGTTCCTCACCATCTTGATGCTCTGATGTTTCAACATAACCTTTAACAGGCGGCTGAAGTTGTCTCAGCTCCATCCCTGCTGCTACACAGTGTGCTTCCTGGGTCTTCATACGAGGTTCAGGTGAGAACCAAGAGATCGGACGGCTTAGGAGTCTGGAGTGACTGGAGTTTGCCTCGAGTCTTTACCACACAAGGTAGGCCTTGTCAAAGTTTCTCTTGGAAACAATCTTCCAGATCTTGGCTTCCTTCCATCAGCATATCATGAGCATCTTCAACTTCTATTTCCCCCAACAAGAAGGGGGAGTAATATTAACATTTTATTTAAAGCTCTTTTTGGAGACAAGGTCTGCGTATATAGCCCAGGCTGATCTTAAATGCTGGAATTATAGACATACATGCTTATGCCTTGCTACATTTTACTCAAATCTTGAGCAGGCTAATTTGTTAATGAAAATTGCACCTGAATTCTTACGTATTTGCTTCCAAAACACCCTCTTATGGAGTTTTTTTTTAGCATTTTTTATTACTTTAATTTTAAATAGCTTGCTTCACATGTCAATCCCAGTTCCCTCTCCCTCCCCTCCTCCTGCACCCTCCTACCATCCCCCCCCAGCCTCCCACCCTATTCCTACTTCCTTCCACATAGGGGATATCATTTTGCTCATGGCAGGGTCCAGGCACTCCCCTAAGAGTCCAGACTGAGAGAGCATCCCTCTTTGTGTTATGGACACACAAAGTCCGTTTGTATGCCAGGATTAAACACTGATCTACTGCCCAGGGCCCCATAGGTTGCCCAGGCCTCCTCACTGACTCTCACACTCAGGGGGTCTGGATCACTCCCAGCTGTCAGTCTGGGGTCCAAGAGTTCTCCCCCTTGCTCAGATCAGCTGTCTCTGCTGGTTTTGCCAGTCCATTCTTTGCCAATTTGCTTATCGCCCCTCTCTCTCTGTCACTGGGTTCCATGGGTTCAGTTCAGTGTTTAACTGTGGGTGTTTGCTTCTGCTTCCATCAGTCACTGGATGAAGGTTCTACGATGGCATATAGGGTAGACATCAAGTTCGTTATCAGGAATGGGCATTTAAAGTGGTCTTTCCACTATTGCTTAGCTTGCCAGTTGGTGTCATCCCTTTAGATCACTAGAGGTCTCACTGGTGCCAGATCTGTCTTCTAACCTATGACTCCCTCTATTACGGTATTTATCATCCTGTTCTCCCCCTATTCTACTCCCCACTCAACCTTCCTGTTCCCCCATGACCTGTCATGGAGGGAGAGGTTTTTTTTTTAATATCAGAAAGACATATTTAAGCTGGGCATGGCGGCTCATGCCTGTGAATCCCAGGATTCTGGAACATGAGGCAGGAGGATTAAGAGTTTGAGGTCAGCCTTGACTACATAGCAGAACACTACAAATAGATAAAAAAAAATGTGAAATTTAATTTCCACTTTAAAAACCTAGTGGGTATACCACTTATGTTGTTTAATTTATGTTTAGAATCCAAGAGTATTCATTGAGATAAACATGTCAAATGTTTACTTTTAGAGGTGTCTGTGCACACGAAAGTGTGTGTTTGTATGTGTGTGTGTGTGGGGTGCTTACAGAGGCCAGAGGTCGACTTTGGCTATCTTCTACTTTCACCGTATTACTTGAGACGGGGTCTCTTCCTGAGCTTGGAGCTTGATGATTCAGCTGTACTAGCTAGCTGGACAAGCCCATAGGATCCTCTGGTCGCTGCTTTCCAGTGCTGAGATCACAGACTGTGCTCAGCTTTTGATGCAGTGCTGGGGATCTGAACCCAAGTTCTCAGGCTGCTGCAGCAACCACTGCACTTACTGGGTCATTTCACCAGCATGCTTTTGGCGTTTTCAGAGTCAAGTCTTCATACCTTCAAAGTTTTGTTGTTGTTGCTCTGTGTACTTTTTGTTAGCTATTATTAATATAGGGAGAGGGGACAAAGAGCTCACAGGCGACATAATTTCATGAAATGAATTACAGGGGAAAGAGAGTCTTGGTGCATGCATTCCTGCTGAGGGTGAACCTCTAATTCCTGGTAAGAAGACAGGCATGCATATCAGTGTTCCTTGATCAGGGGTCAGGTCAGTCAGTGGGACTAAGAGTGATGATCTCCATCCAGGCAGAAGAGCTACAGTTCCTAGAGGCGGGGCTGCAGGTAGGGATGGAGTGCTCTGTGCTGGAGGGTACTGGGGCTCCAGCAATGCTGGCCGGAGCAGCAACAGCAGCGGCTGCTACAGTGTCTCTTACTTGTGCAGTCATCACTTGCTGGGATGGACTCCAGCCCCTTGGACATGACCAGGTGATCCAGCAAGGGCCTGGGGATCAGGAACACCAGGTGCCCTCCTAACCCCAGGACCTCTAGTAGTGCCACCAAATAGCGCCCAGGCAATGCTAGTGTCTTTAGAAGGTGGCCTCTCCACAATAGTGGATACCATGTCTTCCCCATGCATTGACACCACTGTTTGTGGTTTCTTTTCCCCTTTCTTCCCTCACTCTGGCTATTTTGTATTCTTTGGTTTGAACCCTAGGTTCATCATAACTCAGGGGATCAAATTTGCATTCACGTCAAAAGCCTTCAAGGTGTCAGTAAAGATCCAGCCATTTTGCAGGATACATCTCACTCTGTAGTCAGTGTGCTGCAGTATCTTGTGACTGTGTCATGTAGACTTGATTCCCATTCCATCGTCGATGGTGTCAACAGTAAAAATTGTATTTTATCCCTACATCCATCAGGGTTTCCCACCAATAATGCGAGTTTGTTAGAAACTTTTCAAACTGTGGGTGGGTCCTGTTCTTTTCTTGGAGTCAGCTGGCCTTGATGCTCATAACTGCTCCAGCAACCTGTTGGTATCAGCTAAGAATGCCCAGCACAGCTCTGGAGGTCCACCCTGGAGCTTCTTACTTCTGAGAACACGGTGGGCACAGCGGACACTCTCGGATGCTCATTGAGGCTGGCCTGCGTTTGACCTGGACTACCGCCTCTGGCACATGCAATGCAGCAGTCCTTTACAGGTGTGAGCGATCACCTGGGCTCTCCATCTGTCTGCAGTGACTCATAGAGCTGTGTGTCTGGCGTCCAGCCACCTCTCAAGGTTATTTTTAGCATCAGAGAAACTGCACCTTTATTCACAGGTGCCTCAGGGAGGTGAGATGCAGCATCTGTCAGAGCCCTGAGAACCTTTGTGCCTGTTTCCAACCCTGCCACCACTGAGTTGTGACTTTAGGAAGACACTCTATTGTCCCTTGGTAGTCTGCTTGCTCAGTTTTACTGGGGTTACACAGAAATGGTAATGTAAATCACTGAGCACAGTCCATCTATATCATTCAGCAGATTCCCTTATCGATTACTTGGTATTGAAGAAGTGTTAATTAGTCAGAAAGCAAGTGGCATCAGTGTCTTAGAAGTATCGATTTTGGAGTCTGCCAGTTTTTTCAAGGGCAACAATTATGATTTCTTTAGAGAGGTTCTTAACCTTTCTGTGCCTCAGTTTCCCTGTCTGTTACATCAAGATGTATGGATGGTTTTGGTATGGGGAAATAGCACAGTGAAGTGCACATTACAGCACCCGACTCCTAACATTCAGTTTATGAATTCACAGCCTACATGCTCAGAATCTCAAGATTTAAAGAGATAGGAAGATGGACAATAATTGCTTGGCATAAAGTAAGATTGCGCGAGAGAGCTAAATCAAGTGTTGAATAATTTGTTCAGCCTGGGAGACTCGGGGACCTGGCATGAGGAGATTTAGATGGTGATTTTATGCCTTTATTCCTCAGATAACTTTCTATTGTCCCCATGTGTGTGATCACAGGCTGATAATCCAGCTTCTGAATTTTTTGGTTGGTTCCTAAGGGAAACTGAATCTTCTGTTATCAGGTCTTATTGACTAGCTGTGCCTTATGAATCCCATGGGGGAGACAGTGTGAAAACCACAGTATCTCAGGTGGAGGCTTCTATGTGGTGCTGAGGGGTCATGTCGGGAGGGAAGAGGGGAGCTGTGCAGAGGAAATAGAAGGCCCCCATGCCCACCTACACTGAAAGCCTGTCTTTATTAACTACCGGGCAATGTGCTTAGCTTCCATGGAAAGATGTTTCTTTCTTATTTTACTTCATTATTAAAATTTAAAACTTCCCCTTCAAGAAAAAGAGGCAGGGCTAGAAGAATCAATGTTGTTTTTCAGGGTTTGCTAGGATTCAAGACTGACTATAAATGCTTTTTTTAGAAACTCCATATAATATACTGGTTTCTTGCATTTTGTCAAATATTTGATCTCATTCAGTTTAGGTCTTTATATGGGCATATTATTTAGTTATGTTTTTCTTTACAGTGTATGTCTATCTGTAAGTTTATATTTGCTTAGTTTTTCAAATGCCAGCTCATAGTTTGCATTCTTGTATAAGATAGCCATGTGGAGGTCCCTGCAGGTGTCATACAGGGAAGCGAACGGCACAAAATGGTGAGAATGAAAATTCAGTGCAGATTGACTTTGGCAACCTGCATCAGACTTTGGGATGTCGAATACCAGGCAGTTCATTGTTAGCATATTTGAAACACGGTACAATTTGTGAAAAGGTTTCCAGGCAGCAATCATTCCAATTCCAGGTGCACAATAAAGCTTAAGGTGTGACTCCATAGAGACTCTTTACAAAGTACATGTGACTATGAGCATGGGTTCTATAGCTTAAGGGCCTAGAATCTAGTGTGGTCTCTGACTGGTGGCACAGAGGTCAGTAGGACATAAAGTACTCAGACATCTCCCCTAAGAATGGATAATGATCTAGGGATAATCATTCTGGGGAATTAGGGTGAGATCTATCCTTTCAGATAGCAAAAGAGTCACCAGGTTGTTAGGAACCTCCACTCTCAGCTTTCTGGATGGAAGGCATCTCCATTGAGGAGACGCCCCTGTGTGATTAACTCTCCTGGTTCTCTTAGTGCTTTCTGTGAGGACAAGGACCTCTATACCCCCAACATAGTCAGATGTTATAAAGCACTTTATCAATTAGCTTGTGTAATAGTCAATCAAAAGACCATTAACAGCTAGACGTTTATTTGTCACTCAGGTGTATCTCTAGACTTCAGACATCCTGAAAACTGGGGGCGGGGAATGAGTAAATAGCTACTTTCTAGTCAAAGCTCCCTCCAAAAATTAATTTTAAAAGATGAAAATTTTATTTTGGCTCATATTTGAGGTTTTAATATTTTAGGTTTTAACCCTGTTGCGTTGAGCCTGTGCTAACTCAGCAGTGGGAGCCTGCAGGAGAGGAGGTCTGTTCCACTCACTGCTGCCAAAAGGCAAAGAGAGATGAAGCAGGAGACTGGCTCCCAATGTCCCTATCAAGGGCACACTCTAAATGACCTGGCTCCTTCCACTGGAATGTCCCTCATGAAGGTTTTGTAGATCCCAATAGCGGCATAGGCTGGTGTCCCAGCCTTTAGCTTATGGGCCATAATGCTGCCTAATGATTGCAGATGGCTTAGCTGCCTCTGAGGGCTAGTAGGTGAAGATTAAGAAAAAGAAATTGGGGGTGGAGAGATGGCTCAGGAGTTAAGAGCACTGGTTGTTCTTCCAGAGGTCCTGGGTTCAATTCCCAGCACCCACATGGCAGCTCACAACTGTCTGTAACTCCAGTTCCAGGGTATCTGACACTCTCAAACAGACATACTTGCAGGCAAAACACAAATGCCCGTGAAATAAAATAAAAAAAGAAATTCGTTATGTAAGAAACAAACTAATATACTTGCAGTGGGAACCAAAACTAGTCCACTGAAGTAACTCCCCCAAATATTTCTCTTTACAATATCATCCACTATGTTGGTGTGTGCTGAATCACAAATAATCTACATAAGCAGGCTCCATGTTTTCCCTTTAAAGAAAATTTATCACATCTTCTCCTAGAATGAAAAGTACATTTTCTGGGACTGGGATAAACACATTGTGAAAGAACTTTACCTAAAAAATGTTTTGATTCATGGTCTATATTCTTTTGAGTAACTGGTAACATTAATATTGTCACTAGAATATTTCACTTTCAATAAAATTCATTAATATAGATATTGTGAAGTTATCAGTGGTTTTGGCCATATAAAGAAAGTCATAGCTGTCTTATTCCTCAAACTAAATTTTGCATAATATTTATTAGGATGGTATTTGTGGTCTTTTGAAAATTAGGTATTCAGCATTTATTTCATATGTCTCATTAATTTTTAGCATGAATTTATAGATTATCACTTTTTATCTTTGTGTTAAAGCCTAGATGTAAGCATCTAGTCAGTCACAAGCTATATACATTTTAGCTTTAATTCTCAGTAGGGCCTCTCCAGGTGAATTTGCTGTTGAACTAAAATACCTTGAAATTTTAAAAATAATCTGTGAATGAAGAACCTGAATTTATGAGAGTTACTGTGTACCTTTCTAGAAAATAAGAGTAACTCTGATCTGCTGCCCAAGGCTCAATAGAATCCCTAGGCCTCTTCACTGACACCCAGATTCAGGGGGGTCTTGATCAGTCCCAGTATACACACGGACTTTGGATTCCAATAGAACAATGTGAGGTGCACTCTCACCCTGAACTCTTGGGAAAGGGTCTAGGCCCTGCCCTATATGAAATGACACACTATGGACACCCCCATGGAGGGCCTCACCCTCCCTGGAGAAATGAGGGGATAACGGGGGGGGGGAGGGCACAGGAGGAAGGGAGGGAATGGGAGAGGGACCTGGAACTGACTTGTGAAGCAACCTTGATTCTTATCTAAATTTAAACTGGAAAATAAAATTAAAAAAAATAAGAGTAACTCTGAGGCATTGTGACAGTTCAGTGGTGAGGCCGTGGAGCACGCCGAGTGTGTGACAGGCATAGGTCAGTAGTGAGCTCCGTTCACGGGAAGGTGGCATGTCCTGGGGCTGGGGTTACACTGAGTCACGCCCTTACTCCAGTGCTTCTATCCTGCTTCTGTTTACCAGATACACTCAGTGTCCAATGTGGACATACAAAACCATTTCGGTAAAATTAGCATGACGTTACAGAGCAAACTACATTACCTATTTATTAGAGACTTTCATGGGTATGAAAAAAACTAATAGCAACAACTCCCTTTCTGTCAAGATTTTGTATCATCGTGATCTGTGCTCAGAACACACGCTATGTTTCACTGATTCTCTAGACATTTTAAAACTGCATTTATTTTGCATGCACATACGTGCCATGATGTGCATGCTGAGATCAGAGAACAACTTGTCAGTTCTTTCCTTCTGTCGGTCATTCGGTCATGTCAGTCTTAGGGATTGCACTCAGGTCACCAGACTTTGTGGCAAATACTTTTACCTGCTAAGCCATCTTGCCGGCCCTTCTTTTTTCTTTGACATTTATTTATTTACTTATTTTTGTATGTTCCCACATGTGTGCATTCAATCTTAATAGCCTGGTAGGAAACGAATCGTTGTGGAAATAAATGATGCTCCATTTAGCTAATTTTGACTGTCACTTGGAAAATGGCAGTTGCCAAAGCCCAGTTGTAATGAATAAGCCCCACGTTTAGAAGCTCGTCATGGTGTCCATGGAGGCTCTGTCCATTTGAGAGCAGGGGTTACTGGGGCTCTAAAGGGCTGTCCACAGCACAGTCAGTGTCTCAGTGCACTTATTTGATGCTGGCAGGGTAGCTAGGGATGTGGGAATCTTTTGGCTGTGGTACAGGCTGCTCACGTGATGGCTTCTGTTTCCAACTGAATGCCCACCTTTCTTTCTGTGTTACAGATGTCGTGTACTTTCCACCCAAAATCCTGACAAGTGTTGGATCGAATGCTTCCTTTCATTGCATCTACAAAAATGAAAACCAAATTATTTCCTCAAAACAGATAGTTTGGTGGATGAATCTAGCTGAGAAAATCCCTGGAATCCAGTATAGCTCTATGAATGACCATGTTAGCAAAGTTACTTTTTCCAACTTGAAAGCCACCAGACCTCGGGGGAAGTTTGCCTATGACGCAGTGTACTGCTGCAGTGGGCAGGAATGCCATCACCGATACGCCGAGTTATATGTGATTGGTAAGACTCCCAAGGCCTTGTTCATTCTGTTCCACAAGATCACTTGTCACAGACTGTGCTAGAGTCCTATTAAAGATGTAAAGAAAATGTTTTTCATGATTTTTTGGTGTGTATACTTTATATTAATATTTTAATGTGTTTTAAATAGATGTCAATATCAATATATCATGTGAAACTGATGGGTACTTAACTAAAATGACTTGCAGATGGTCACCCAGCACAATCCAATCACTTGTGGGAAGCACTGTGCAGTTGAGGTATCACAGGTATGTATGTACAGTGCTTGCTTCTTTGTTTTCCCCTGGGCACGGCACAGTTAAACTTTCCATTAATCTGTTACTATAGCAGAAATATGGTGATAGGAGGGCTCCTTCTGAATGCTGTGAATACATGTTTCTCTTATTGGTTGTTTTGGCCAATGGACAGGCAGGATGTAGCCAGGCAGGAGGTATAGGTGGGGCTACCAGACTAGGAGGATTCCGGGAGAGGAATGTAGAGAGTCTTGAGAGAGATACTATGTAGTTACCAGAAAGATAGGATGTTTCGGCACTCTCTAGGCAAGCAAGACCACATAGAGATACACAGATTAATAGAAATGGATTAATAATTAAGAGAGAGCTAGTCAATTAGAAGCCTGAGCCATCAGCCAAACAATTTATAATGAATATAGGCCTCTGTATGTTTATTTGGGACTGAACGGCTGCAGGACAAGGTGGGACAGAAACCTCTGTCAACAGTCTGTCGCATTTTTCTCCCTGAGCAGAAATTTGAATACACCCTCCCTGGGGAGTTGATGGGGGATGGGATGGGGGAGTCGTTGGGGACCGGAGGATGGGAGGGAGAGGGAACTGGGATTGCTATTTGAAATAAGATAGTTTCTAATTTAAATAAAATTTACATAAAAAAGAAAAATTGTAAGGAATTACAAAAATTGTACTTTTTGAAAACATTCACACTAGAGGCTAATATACATACATTCATTCATTCATACATACATACATATTGTTTTAACCTCATGTTATCACGTATGCCAACCAGTTTCTTGGGATTGCATTTTGACTCTTGAGTGACATGCAAGGAGGCAAGAGACTTATTTCCTATGCAGTTTATTTGGGCTCAGTGAATGGGATAAATAGGCTATGTAAAAAAGTTGAATGTCATTTGGCCAAAGACCAGTATTTTAGGAAAAAGGCAAAGGGACCAGATTCTACAAGATGTGACTGTGTTTTAGAATGAAGTGAATTAAGTTGGGACGCGAACAGTAGTTAATGAGGGGTAATAGATTCTATTAAAGAGAATTATGTGCTTATTTATTTTTACATTTCTTTGTATAAAATTTAAGACATCTCCATATAGTATTTCCCTTGTCTTGACATAACATGTGTCCTAAATTGTATGTCACTACTGAGAAGATAAAGCCCTCCTTATTTTTAAAGGATCCTGTGGTAGTCATCCAGTATGTTCACTACTCTTATACTCTATGATATTTAAATTTGTATTGGAGAATCTCGGTTTGTACAATGTGAAAAATTTTTAAATCTAAAATTTCAACTTGAAAAGCATCTCTCTCTTCTCAAGTCCTGTGATCTTAACTCTGTCTTTCATGTTTAGTGTTGATTCCTCTGCAGTCCTGGAAGAAAAGTGGCAATCTGTATTTCTTAAATGGGAAAAAATTATTGTCTTTATCCTATGTGCTATAATATTTTTAAATCAATTGAAAGTTCATGATAGGCTGTTTTAATTATACATGTCTTTCCATGTGTTTTCAAATGCAAACATATGTTTGTTGAAGACAGTTTTAAAAGCGCCATGGCTCTTTTAACATCCACAGGATCATCATATAACCAACTACAAATACTTAGTGAGTTTTTGAACCTCCCACATGTTAATTTCCTTGTCTGTACATAGAGGGAATTGTAGGATTTATATGGTTTTTAGGGCAATTAATGGTATTTCATTTCATCGTAATTAAGTAATAGTGTCTCCTAGGAAACATTCCACTGGAGCAATCAATAAATGGTTATTGCTTCATGATAATGATGCTAATCGTTCCAAGTTAGACCTTCACCACTGTGTTTTTACACTGCTATTTCCTATCCAGTGATGATTATACATCCCTCTGTCCTTGTATTTCTCACTCACCATTAATAATCCGAAAATATGCATATTGAGAACCTTGAGGAGAAAATACAAAGATTTTAGTGTTTTCATTTTCTTTCTCATTTTCATCCCTGTTGAAAGAGGAGTCAGAACTTTAGTCATTCAAACACCTTTTTCAGAGCAAACAGTGTCAGAAGGACCATTTCAAAGAGAAGAAACACTTTGTTTTTTGTAAGGAAGTATGTTGGTTGAGACTCCAAATGTTTAAAAAAATCATTTATGAGAAAATGAGTAATATATTTCACTACCATTCATGTATGGATCAGGATTTGGCATTATTTTAATTACATCAATTTGGTTTAGAAAGTATTAGGGCACTGTCAATCAAGCCAAATATACCCATAAGTTACATTCTCACTTTTTGTTGGAATTTAATCCACTGTTTAAGACAAAAAGAATATGCTTTCCTCCCATCCCAGGAGTACGCCCAGTCCTACTTTTGATCCTTACTTCTAGAATTGTGTCACTGATGCAAGCTTCTAGTACAGGGGTTCTCAATCTGTTGGTCCTCACCCTTCAGAAAACTTGTATTTCCAAAAAAGAATACTTACATTATGATTCATAACAGTAGCAAAATTGCAGTTATGAAGTAGCAACAAAAATAATTTTATGTTTGGGGGGTCACCACAACATGAAGAAATGTTTTAAAGGGTCGAAGCACTAGGAGGGCTGAGAACACTGGGCTTGTGTGACCATTGCAGTCCTGCAGCTCTATTGCTAATTTGCCCTCTTGTCTGCTCTTCTCATTGCCTTCACTAGAGTGTTTTTATAGTTACTGCTTCTGTGGAAAGAATAAGATCTGGAGAGAGCTAGGAATTCAAGAGTGCCTTCCTGATTAAAAACATCAGCTTTTAGACAAAGAACACTATCTCTTTTGAATAACAAATCCGAGTTCTAAAATGTCTTCTCCCTCTTATTAATACTGCATATTAACTGGCTATTTTTTTCAAATGTCTTTTAAGGAGCAGCCTGTATTGTTCCGATAGACCATCTATTCATCCTGCATCTGAACCCAAAAGCTGCATCTTACAGAGGGATGGCTTTTATGAATGTGTTTTCCAGCCAATTTTTCTATTATCTGGCTACACAATGTGGATCAGGATCAACCATTCTTTAGGTTCACTTGAGTCTCCACCAACATGTGTCCTTCCTGACTCTGTAGGTACGTCAGGCAGCGCTGTATATTTTCCTTAGATTTGGATGCTATTTTCTACTCACACTGGATTTTGAAAAAAAAAAGATTTTGTTTATTGAGGAATTGAAACAATTGGCCTTAGGAAGCTTTCTAGTTTTGAGTTTTTATTGCCATTTTGAGTTTATTCTGTATATTACTTGTAGCATGTTTGTTTATAAATATGGATAATAGAGTCATAACAGTTGGGTATTTCCATATAGCACTTGGCGAGTTGCATGTGTCATTGTGAGTGCAATTTTATGAGGTTTTTATAAAGTAACCCTCCAGTGTAATTCTAAAGCTATTTTAATCTGAAAGTTTCATTTGGGTAATCTAAAGGCTTTATAAGCTGAGTAATAATATTTCAAGAATTCAATTTTTAAGGCTGGGTAAGGGCATTTGAAATACTAAATAAAGGATGTGAAGAAAATAGACAAAGATGATGAGATCTTTAATAATATTCACAGATTTTTAACAAGTGTCTTGAGATACTTGAGACATTTGATGTATTATCCCAAAGCTGTGTGGAATATTTGAAAAAAATGACCCATTTTTGGTCATTTATTTTGTTATTATGTTATTTTATTAGGGAATTATGAAAAAAATATATTTGTTTTCAATTAATCAGGACACATTTGAAGTAGAATCTGTATTTTGTCAAATACAGGATGAACTCATTTTAACTATTAGATCTGTTTTCATATATAAATGCTCAACTGATTGATTATATCTTCATTTATATGATTCCATTGTGTTTTTACTGCAATTGGTATTTTTCTGTTATTTAATCTTTTAGGCTAATAAAGGGCCATGAAAAGTCACACACAACATGAAGTCAGCAACATGCTATCTGGGTAACATTTGGAGTGTTCTGCTTTTCAAAACTAAAAGAATTTAAATCAGGCTCATCTTGCCTTAGGAAGAGAGCAATGTGGAAATTAAGCTTTGGGATGTAAATCTCAGCTCCACCTCTTCCTAGCTTTTAAAGCTTGGATCAAGCATGAAAACATTCTGTATCACCCATCAACTCTGTGTAGCTCCTCATACTTCTCTGATATGTGCATCACTCTGGGCACTGTGTACCCTACCACTTGGGTAGTCACTGAATCCATTCATGTGTCCCACTGAACCACAACCAAAGAATCGGTTCTTATGTTGTCTCAAATGTGGAAATTTCCTTTCTTGAAAAGAAATAGCCTTTTCCAGAGATGAAAGTTTGATCATCTTACTTAGTGGTGAATACTGTCAATGATCATGAAAAACAGCATACTAATGGCAAGTTCAAGGTGTTTTGTTCTGAATATTCTAAAGTACAAGTATTGATTTCTTAAATGACTAAAAAGTACCACTCAAAAAAGAGGCCTTGCTTTTTACACACTGGTTGTCTTTAGAAGTGAGACTTAGAGGAGGAGAATTATGGCAAACACTCATGTAGGGCCAATCCAGGCATTCTTAGTTCCCTATGAATCAACAGTGTCCTGGCTTACAGAACTTGAGGGAAGCAACAGGTTTGGGGGCAAACCACAAATGTTTACAGAGGCTTTCCTATCTTCACCCATACAACACCTGTATGTTGCCCTGTTTGTGATTTTTCAGTTTATGGATTGGTGGGTTTCTTTAGCCCCTACAGTTATATACTTCATGTTCCAGTCAAGGACCATCTCTCTTTGGATAGTTCAATGGCAGAGGTACCCATTTAAAAAATTTCAAAGAAGAGGAGCATCCTGGTCATCATCCTAGAGACCCCGGGCTCTACCTGGTGTTAACCTGTTAGATGCTGGCTCGTGGCAGTTGTGAGGGCAGCCGATGGGATCTTCGATGGGAGAGAATGGTCTCAAGAGAAAAGTTCCTTACCAGCTGGTGTGAAAGTATAGTCCTTAAGCATTATAATGTGTTGCTATGGCAACTGAACCCATTGCTCCATTCAGGGGAGTCACCCACAAGTAAAGACCAGATTGATGTGGCACTGTGAAGTTCATGCTTGGTGTCATGATACAATTAGATCTAGAGGCATAAGCTGTGCTAGAACTTCCAGGATTTAGTACAATAAAGCATATTTCCCTATTGTCTTATTCCTAGCAAAAATGGTCCTCTATAGGAAAAATTGGTGATGTTGGGCAAATACACGTCCAGGATGTAAGTCAAAGTTAGGTTGAGACCAGCAACATAAGATGTTACAAAAAAAAAAAGGTAGCTAGGTGTGGCTCGTGCCTTTAATCCTAGTGCTAGGGAGGCAGAGGCAGGCAGATCTCTGTGAGTTCAAGACCAACCTGGTCTATTCAGTGAGTCTGGGCCTGCCAGGGCTACAAAGTGAGGCTTTACTGAAAGAAAGGGACAGGGAGGAGAGGAGAGAGGAGGAGGAGGAGGAAGAAGAAACAAGATAACCATCTTCTACGCATTTCTATATTTTTATGCATTTCATCTTTAAACGTGTCTTTATTTTTTTAAAAAAAAATCATGTTAAAATCTTTTGTGATCTAAGTTACCTTCGCCTCTATTTTCTGCTAATTAAAGTCTGTTTCCTCAGATTATAGAAAGCAAGCTTCTAACGGCTCAGTCAGCAGATATCCTCTGACCTTGCAAAGTGACACGGATAACATACTGATGAGGTTTTCATTGGACCTCTTTGCTTGCAAAGTAGAGCTAATCCTTTTCCTTATGTATTACACAAAGCTGTAGGCATGAGGCAACGAGTCAGAGAGCTTTAAAAAGGATTTACTTTATAAATATGAAGTCTAAGGATTGTTAATTTTGCTGTTAAGTTACTATTGCATGATATTATTTTTTAAATTTCTAGTAAAACCACTGCCTCCATCTAGTGTGAAAGCAGAGATTACGATAAACACTGGATTATTGAAGATATCTTGGGAGAAGCCTGTCTTTCCAGAGAATAACCTTCAGTTCCAGATTCGATATGGCTTAAATGGAAAAGAAATACAATGGAAGGTACCTTTTATTTCTAACTGTTTTCTTCTCTGTCCTCTCTTCTTTTCTCCTTTTCCCCACCCCTCTGTAGATTGGAGTCTCTCTGTAGCCCAGGCTGCTCTCAAAGTTACTCTGTAGCCCAGGCTGGCCTTCAACTTGTGGACCTCTGATGCTTAACCTTCCAAGTGCTGCGACTGCTAAGTGCTATTTAAGGTTTTATGAACGCATATTAATTATACTTAATAATGGGTTTCGCTATGATATTTTGGTATATATAATGTATTCTGATAACATTCACCTCCTTCTTACCACCTCTTATCTCCCTACCACTGATCCCCTTCTTCTTCCTAGCCAGTCACCTTTCTCCATATTTCGTAAGGAATTTTTTTCCCTCAGGAACATGGGCAGCTTACCAGTGGCTATACCACTAAATAAAATGTCTCATTATCTTCCCCCAGAAACAGGAAAATCCTCAGGGAGAAATGGGGGCCCTGTGAGCCCTTCTCCCTTCCATGTCCAACTGTAAATGGAGGTTTCTCTCTCACCTGCCAGTTCCTGAATAGACACTCAGAGACTTAATATTAACTATAATTGTTTGGCCAATGGCTCAAGCATATTATTAACTAGCTCTTACAACTTAACTCAACCAATTTATTTATTGCCAATGGCTGTGGCATTACCTCATATCTGCTTCTCTGGCAGCTGCATAGCATCTCCCTGACTCTGCCTTCTGTCTCTCTGTCTCTCTCTTTGGATTTCCCACCTGCCTGTATTCTGCTTGGCCATTGGCCAAAACAGTTTTAGTCATCAACCAATGAAAGCAGGACATATTTGCATCAACCAACGTCATGCATGTGTCATGTAGGTAATCACAACTACTGAGAGTTAAACATGAAACAGCATCTTACAATGTTTAGAATTTTGTTGCATCACATAGCCGCTGTCATACAAATAGCACTCTTCTGTATTGTGTAATTACTTTCATTGCTTAGATCAGTGGCTCTCAACCTATGGGTTGCAACCCTTTTCACAGGAGTCACATATCCGACATTTACATTAGGACTCATAACAGTAGCAAAATTACAATTATAAAGTAGCAATGAAAATAATTTTATGGTTGGAGGTCACCATCACATGAGGAACTGTGTTAAAGGGGGTCACAGTATTAGGAAGGTTGAGAAGCACTGACTTAAATTGTCAAAGTTTAATCTTTGCAAGGAACAAAAATAGCATACTTTGCAAGACATTTTCCCTTTGAACTGTTCATGAAACAGAGATTGCCTGGCTAAATAGGCTCAGGAAACCCTGCCTTATTGTATCTTCCTGGTGTAGAGATGCTGTTTATGACATTAAAGGTTTGGAGAAGGCCTTTGCAGAAGAAACATTTGTTATATGTCATCCTTTGTTTCCACACTCACTTTTTCAGGGACCCTCATTTCATGTAAGCTTCTGATGTCTTTCAGTATGTTCATGAATGGGACATTTTGAAAGAGACTATTTTTATTAAACAATCATAGAGTTGAGTGTGCATATGGGAAATTTTGTTCAGTTTTTCAGGGCAGCTTGCTAAGAATGGAAATGCAAGAAACCCTAATTACATTGTTAGCACAGTGACATCAGTTGAGGCATATGTGGGTCTTATCTGCTTGATTCTCCAGAGAGGGCCCTGTCTGACTACCATTTTTGAATTCTTGTCTTTGTGGTGGAGCAAGGATCAGAGAGTAAGGGTTAGCAGTAGGGCAAGAGTGTGTTGAGTGTGTTTGGAATTGACCTTGCAAGTGCAATGTGTCAACAAGGGAATAACCAGGTGTGGGAGGTAGCACTCCTCTGACTGGTTGTGAGTTTCTGAAGTGAGAAAATACAGCATCACTCTGTCTTAAGTTTGGAGTAGTGTTAAGGTTTAAAATACAAGCACACTTCAGGACCCATAGGAGGCATGCATATTAACAGTGTGGCCTCTGTTACAGGTACATGAGGTATTTGATGCAAAATCAAAGTCTGCCAGCCTGCCGGTGCTGGACCTCTGTGCAGTCTATGTGGCCCAGGTGCGCTGCAGGCGCTTGGATGGACTTGGGTACTGGAGCAATTGGAGCAGGCCAGCCTACACGCTTGTCATGGATGTAAAAGGTCTGTGAACACTTGTTAATGTCTCATGAAAGTGCCGAAGCGTGTGCTTCAAATGGGATTGAAAACATTCCTTCCAAGAACACGTGTCCAACTTGGGCTCCCTGTCATTTTGCAGTTCCTATGAGAGGACCTGAATTTTGGAGAATAATGAATGGTGATATTACTAAAAAGGAGAGAAATGTCACCTTGCTTTGGAAGGTATTTCTAATTTCTGACTTTTATTTTATTCTGATGTTATGTTTGTCTATTCTTTGTTTATAACCCTGTTACTAATAATCTCACAAATGACTCCAAATCATGTGATCATGTGTTTTAATGCATTTTAAAGATGTGGTCTCTCAAAGCTAAGTATCTGGGATTTTGACATAGTCAGGAGCCTTTATTATTGTCTTAGGTCAATTATAATTGGATCATTGCTATTTTGGCAAAGTCTTGGACTCTTTGGAATTTACATTTGACATCTGTATCAGGGTAAGATTCCTAAATGATAATTAATGTTGCTTCAAGTCCACGATTTGATTGCGATTGAATCCTGAACAATATAAACATGACTTTCCCCTCATACTGGATAATCAACTTGGAAATGCCAAGGCATGCATTCTTCTAAAGAGTTGACTTCTATTCCAAATAAATAATTTCAGAAATAGGTATCAAGCTTATGACTTACTTAGGAATAAAATACTCTAGGTGGGCAATGTTATGTGTATTATGTAAATGGGAAAACTGTCAGGAGAATGAAAAGATCATTGCAGCAAGGACTCTTCAGCTTCAACAATAAGAAAGCAAATAGCCCATCAAAAATGTAGACCAAATATCTGGTCTACATATCTAACCAAAGGTGACAGACCCACAGGTGACAAATGAAAACATGATAAGATTCTAAGCATTGTTTGTCATTGTTGAGGATTTACAAACTAAAACAACAGTGAGGTAGGAGTCTGATTGAGAATACAGAATATCAAGAAACTTGGTTTGCTGCTCGTGGCAATGTAAACTTGTGTAGCCTTGGTGGATCATCGTGTTCAAAGATGCTTATTTGGGTGACTTCAAAACTTTCTCTACACGAAAACTTGCACATAAGTTATTCAGACCACTGTATTTATAATCATTATTCAGTATAAAATGAAATGGTAGGCATTCCACATTGCACATTTGCCCAACCCAAAACTTCATTAGGATAAAGGGTAATAGTATACCGATTTTTAAAAAAAAATTCATAGACTGGAGGATTTGAGGATGAAATACAGATTAGATTATGAGTATCACAAGTTTATGAAATTACCTCACTGTGGGGGGCAAGGGAAAAGGCTTAATGAACTTTGGAAATGAGTCTGAAGTATGGAAGATGTGAGACACTACATGAACACTTTGGAGTTGTGCATTTTTCCAGGGATGTAGGCTAACAGTTATTACATCACTGTAGGTTTGTGTTCATGGGAAAGCTAAGAAGATGAATGGGGCAGAGTAGGTTGTGTTAGAAATATTTAGAGACATGTATATGTACGGAGGCCCGTATTCATGTATATATCCTTGATTTTGTAAGCTAAGAGGGCCTAAAAGTTAAGACTGTTCAAGAGGAAGGAGTGTTTCTAATACTATTATTCAGCCAAAGAAATCAGGACCTGAGAGAAATGCTCACTTTAGGGCTGGGCAGTAAATGTACAGGCGAGCCATGGGTATCTTTTAAATGTCCTTGACTTTTTGCGTATGATGAAAAAATAAATATTAATATATCAAAATGACATGGATTTCAGATGAAATGAAACTGGTATTTCCTCAGGGAATTTTTTCTTTTTCTTTTTTGGTTTTTTCGAGACAGAGTATCTCTGTATTGTTTTGGAGCCTGTCCTGGAACTCTCTCGGTAGACCAGACTGGTCTTGAACTCACAGAGATCCACCTGTCTCTGCCTCCCGAGTGCTGGGATTAAAGGTGTCGGCCACCAACTCTCAGTGAGAATTTTTTCTTACATCTTACTTCCACCCTACTACCCATGAGCTTGCACCCACTGCAAGATACTTGTGTCTGTGTGAGTGTGTCTGTAATTTTTCACTTGGAGACACTTGTTCTGTCTTTGGTATAAAATTCAGCTCTTCGTAGCTTTCTAAGGGATTGGCAGCATTTAATTTTCCCTGAAATAGGTGAAGGTGATTGCTTGGGAAGTGAAGGAGATTGTTGGACTCTTAAGCACAGAAGAACATGGAGCTGGATGGAATGGAATGTGTTTTACACAGGAATCTTCCATAACACAGTATAATATTTTATAGAAAGCCTTGGGACAGAAATTTCCAGGGCCACATGGACTGCCCAGATAGCCTCTGTTATTTGTTAACCTTCAAGGTTTTTGTTTTGTTTGCAAAACTCTTCTTGCTGTAGCTAATATTGCTAAGCATATCCTAGGGAGAACAGTGGCAGATTTCCTTGGGTTTACAAAGTGATGATGACCACCTGAGCCTTCTTGTTCCTTCCCAGAACCTGAGCAGTACCTTTGCTTTGCTTGCTTGTTAGATGAGGAAACTCCTCACCAGTCTTTCTTTGCAATTAGAGTGGAGTTTCTTAGTATTTCCTATGTGTTCTTCATATTTCGAGTGTCCTCTGTTCTTACTTCGTTGTCTTTAGTCTCTGGGTCTGAAGAAAAAAACGTAAAAGGGGAAAATAATTTCCCTGTGCTGCATGACTCCTAGATATGTCCATGCCTATTCCATTGCTCAATTTCAACTCCCATTCCCACCCCAATGCCTGAACACTAGATTCGGCAGTGCCTGCCTTGGTCTAACACCTGATTCCTGGTGGGAATGTATAATCAGGATTCTATGAGCTCAGTTGTTATGAACTCTGTGGTCCATGTGCTAATTATTTTTGTGTTTACTCCAGCCCCTGATGAAAAATGACTCCCTGTGCAGCGTGAGGAGGTATGTGGTGCAGCATCGTACTGCCCACAATGGGACGTGGTCAGAAGACGCGGGAGATCAGACCAATCTCACTTTCCTGTGGGCAGAGCAAGCACATACTGTTACGGTTCTGGCCATCAATTCCATTGGTGCTTCCCTTGCAAATTTTAATCTAACATTTTCATGGCCAATGAGTAAAGGTAAAGATGCTGAGAAATAGTTGATTACCTTATTTATTTATTTTGATTTTTTTTGAAGCATTGTTTCTTTGTGTAGCTCTAGCTGTCCTGGAACTCACTCTGTAGACCAGACTGGCCTCGAACTCACAAAGAACTCCCAGAGTGCTGGAATTACAAGTCATGTGCCAGCACTGCCTGTCTTATTTTATTTCTATGGTGGGTCATACAGAATCCTACTACTATTATTATCATTTTTATTTCAGCCTGACTGTTGAATTATGATGTGGCCTGATTGCATGACATTTTCTGTAGCACCGCATCTGTATTATTCTTGCTCCTTCCCCTTCAATGCCTCCCATGTATCTCCTCTGAAATTCATGACATCTTCCTTATTAGTAAACATTTTACATGCATATATATAACTTACTGAGTCTATTTAGCTTTGCTCAAGCGTACATGTGTTCAGGGATGACCACTTGGGATTAGTCAACCTGTGCAGGAACTCTTTCTTGGAGGAGACTGATTCTTCCTCTCTGAGCATCCACTGATCATCTGCAGCTCTTCATCTAGGGGTGGGTGTGAGGGACTCGGAACTGGCACAGAACACACCCAGACACCAGGTTCTCAGCACAAAGGAGATTCAGTAACCCTGAAGAAGGGAAGCAGGGGTGGGGACTGGGGGACCTGCCTCTGGATGGACAAAGGCAACAACAGGTGACTCTGCAGGAGTGGTTTTTAAGGAGAAAATGGGGAAGTCTGGTAGGATGAGTTGGTAAGTTCTGGTTGGACATGTTAGTCAGTGTAGCCAAATAATAAGTCTTGTTTGCTGGACCTTGGAGTTTTAGTCAGGCATAAGGAAGTGGACAAGTAAGGCAATTTAGAAAGTGCTCTGAACTTTAAAGTAGGTATAGGACATATTCAAACAATAATCAAAGACTTCATGGAATAGGTTACCCTTGGATCAGTTAGTAGGTGGGTAGAAACACCAGAAATGAGTATGAGTATTTTTCCATTTAAGATGAAATTGTATCTTTTGTACAAAACACAGATTATATACTCCTATTGAGGGTGGCTCTTGGGCCAGCAAGGTGGTAAAGGCACCAGGTACCAAGCCTGACAACAGAGTTAGATCCCTGAGAACCTACATGGTGGAAGGGGAGAACTGACGTCCACAAGCTGACCTCTGACGTCCATACATACGCTGGCATGTTCATCTCCCAAACTAACTAACTTTAAAATATATTTTATAGGACTGGAGAGATGGCTCAGGGTCAAGAATGCTAGCTGGTCTTCCAGAGATCCTGAGTTCAATTCCCAGCAACCACATGATGGCTCACAACTATCTGTAATGAGAACTAGTGCCCTCTTCTGGCCCACAGGCATACATGCAGATAGACCACTGTATACATAATAAATAAATAAATCTTCAAAAAATAAGTATTGTGTTCTAAGGAAAAATATATTAGTATGTGTATATCTTTGTGAGTGTGTGCTTTTGTGATGTGTATTTACGGGCACACATACTACAGCGTGTGTGTGTGGAGGTTGGACCACAACTTGGTGCAGGAGATTTTACTTTCTACCTTTATGTGGATCCTGGAGATTGAGAGAGGGTCTCGTTATATGGCCCTGGCTGGCCTGGAACTCACTCTATAGATCAGTCAAGTCTTAAACACACAAAGATCTGCTTTTCTCTCTACCCCTCAATGCTGGGATTAAAGGCATATGCCTCCATGTCTGGCCAGGGATATGATTTTTTTTTTCTGAAAGAGAGTAAACAAGAACTTGATCTTGGGTTGAGGGTAGAGAAACTGTCCTGAGGCAATGGCATTGATTAGGAACCAAACTTCTTCTCCCAGGTTTAGGGTGGGGAAGTTTTAGGTCATAGCAGATGTATGCTTAATCAAGTTTTCACAGCTCAGGGGAAGGGATGAAGGAAGACCAGGGTGGCTTCTCCTTGGAGAAATAGATGCAGGAGAAAGTGGGTTGATACATGGCTTGTGAGGTCATGTAGGCAGATAGGAATGACCTCCTCCAATGTGCAAAAGGTTTCCAGAAGGAACTCTGTTGAGGACAGTTTTTGAAAGTGTCACTCACCAGTGGGAGAGAAGTGTGTGGGAATTAGAGGATGGATCAGTAGGCTTGTGTGTGATTCCAGCTGAGAACAGTTTTGACCCTACCAAAATTCCATTTTTAGATCTGAGGTAGAATCGTTTTTCCTCTCGATATCAGAAGTTCCTGCATTCTGCTTGTATGAGCTTCATGACATTTGTATAAATTGTCTGCCTGCTCTCCCTTGTCCCTTCATCTGGGCTATTTCTCAAGGCAGTTAGTAAATTTTCATTACACTTGAATTTAACATAAATTCCTCCTCTTCCCCTTAGTGAGTGCCGTGCAGTCACTCAGTGCTTACCCTCTGAGCAGCAGCTGTGTGATCCTTTCCTGGACTCTGTCACCTGGTGATTACAATCTAATCTACCTGATTATTGAATGGAAGAATCTTAATGAAGATGATGGAATCAAATGGCTTAAAATCCCTTCGAACGTTAAGAAGTATTATATCCATGGTATGTTTATAGTACTTTTCATGGGTTAGTATGACACTACAGACTGGGAATTTAGGTAGTAAAGTGATTAATGACAACCCCAAAATGCAGACACCAAGTGCTGCCAACTGTTGTCTAGTCAGAATATTTGCTGTATTTCGGTGAGCATTTTTCTTTTATGTTTTACACAGATGCAATCAGATGTCCTAAACCTTCTCCCCAACCCCTTCTGTCAGAATATGTGTCCATCGTATAGCCTTTTATTCTAAAGTGTTCCTAAGGTATATATTTAGTTGAGTTCATGTTGTTTCCATCTTACTCTTAATGTCTTCCATGGTCTAACGCCAACCCATCCCCCAACTCAGTACCCAATTATAATGTCCCTAAGCAGTGAGTAGAAAGGCTAGGCTGGAAGTCTGAGGACTTTGGATCTCTTGATCTAGGTCAGTGTAATCCTTTCAAGAGTTGCCAGCTACCCTGAGAGGTAAGTGTATAGAACAGTGACAACTCGAGCAGAGCCAGAAGGCAGGGAGCTTGAGTAGGGAAGCTGGGGGTGGCCCTGGGTTTTACACCATCTAGAGAACCCTCGCTTTCTTTTCATCCCAACACATAGAGTTTATCTCCAGGCTAAGGTTATCTATAAATTATAAGCAGGGGACCAAGCTCGTTATCACTGCTGTAGGTACTTGCTCTGTCCTATAATTAAGAGGGTTGGTGAATACAGGCTTCTCAGAGCTCTGCCTCTTACAAGCTTCCTGGTCAAGTGTCATTAGCATCTGTGAGAATCTTTGCCACATCTGTCTCGAAGAACGTTGCTATGGGGAATTGTCATTCCCCACATTACTGGGATCCTCAGATAGCAAAAGAGAACTCCTCAGTCTCCATCCCATTCTTGTGTGACTTCTCCCATAGGAAGAGACTCTTCCCTACCCTGAGGATGATGGGAAAAGGGAGAACATACTATCCTGGAGTAGAATATTCAGGAACAAAAGAGAAAAATGTCTTGAACTTGAACAGATTTGGCTTTCACTGGAGCATGCCCTTGGAAAACCAGTCATTTGTGTCTGAGGAAGAGTTTTAAAAACTTATTTGAAAATCAATATTGTTACTAGCAAACTTTATAGTGTTTGGGTTATTTCTGAAATTCCTTTAGTCATTCAAGCCAATCCTTATGTAATCAGGTGTGTTCGGACATCATAGCCTGCGTTTTTTTGATGTAGGTTTCATTCTTAGTTAACGTGAGCTTTTACTGTTTCTTTTTCTTTTCAGATAATTTTATTCCCATTGAAAAATATCAATTTAGTCTTTACCCAGTATTTTTGGAAGGAGTTGGAAAACCAAAGATAATTAATGGTTTCACCCAAGGTAAAAACAAAAAACAAAAACAAAAGAAAACCTTGTATTTTCTTTCTTTAGAAAAGTATTTGTGCGTGATGCATGTCCTAGTACTGATGCTCTGTACATGTGCTCCACACCCAAGTGGAGGCCCAGGAATAGTCCTTGGGACCCTCCTCCTTCTACTCTAGGTTTGGGGGATTGAACCCACGTCATTAAACCTGCATGGTAAATGCTTTCACTGCTGAGGCATCTCCCCAGCTCTGCTTTCCTTTTTGTATGTGCTTCCCAGGTTATATTGTCACTGGATTAATTTCTTCCCCATAGGATCATGGAAGCTCTAGAGTTTTACCTAGATGTACCATTGTGTCTTTCAAAGAAAAAAACATTTCTTTTGTCTGAAACAAGATAATTAACTTCACTGGACACATTCTGTTTGGATTACTCCACTCACCCATATTTAAACTTTTTATTACTTAAGTTGTTAAATCCAAGCAACCCAATAATGCAGTTTCAAAAGAGAAACATTTTACTTGCTTCTAGAATAATAATTATTTATTGCCAAAAAAATATGTGTTGAATATTCTTCTAAGTACTGAAGACAAAATGGTGAACATAAACCTGCCTTTGGGGGACAATACTCTACAGGCTGTGAAGGTCAGTGAATACATTGTTTAAGATGCAGCACCAGGCGACAGTCAGTGCCTTGAAGGCAAAGGCAAGTGAGATGAGTTAACATGGTGAGGAAAGGCTGGCCAGATGGTCTTTCTATGGGCTCTGGTCCTTGAGCAAAGGTCTGAGTTCGAAGGAAAGAACATTGCAAGATGGGTGCCACATGCCACACCCCGAGGAGTGAAAACTATAGCTGATACTGCAGCAAGAACATCAGACCAGAATAGCCCTGGCAAAGGCCCTGAGGCCTTAAGCAGCAAGGACACTGGTGTGAGTGCAGCTAAAAGGAGGAAAATTGGCGGGTGTCGACAATGAGGTCTGCAGGAGCAGATAGCGAGTTTATCACAGCTACTTTAGTTGGTGCTCTGGCTAATAGAGTTGAAAAAATGATTAGATGGAGAGTCCTGGCAAGTACATAATTCTAAAACAATGTTTTCCTAAATGTCAAGTATAATACTAGTCACAACAACTATTAATGTGTCCACAATGCATTTTTATTTCTACTTTAAAAATAAAAAAATTTATTTTAATTTTTGCATGTATGACTGTTTGCCTGAACGTATATGTACGCGCACCAAATGCATTCCTAATACCCACAGAGGACAGTGAGGGAATCAGACAGCCGGTATCCTGGAACTGAAGTTAGAGATTGTGGTGAGCTGCCACGTGGGCGCTGGGAACTGAACCCTGGTCCTCTGTAAGAATAGCCAGTGCTCTTAACCCCTGAGCCATCTCTACAGCTCCTGTTTTCTTCTTTTTTAAGTTTCTGTGTGTTTGAAGGTAATGCGGATTCATGGTGAAATTAGATTATGTGTTCTGTAGATGATTTTACAGAATAGTCTCCTTAAGTGACTGACGGTTGGACCTGTGTCTCTCTTCCAGATGATATGGACAAGCAACAGAATGATGCAGGGCTGTATGTGATTGTGCCCATAATTATTTCCTCCTGTGTTCTACTGCTTGGAACATTGTTAATCTCACACCAGAGGTATTGCAGTTGGTGCTGATAGGCCATGTGATGGACATTTATAATATTTTCTAAGGAAAACTTATGCAAGGGAGTAAGCACAGTGCCTGGCACACTGCTTTCAGTAAGAAAGGGCTGACTAATTTGTTCTTCATGGAAATTTAGTGAACACTTTGTGGAATCAAATGTAAACATGGATCTGGCCCTACTGAGGTGGTCGGGTGGGCTCATGCTGACTCTGTGTGCTCATTAACTGCTAATGTTTATTCATTCCGAATGCTTCTCTAATCACAGTGCTTCATTTCTCCTTTGCAGAATGAAAAAGCTGTTTTGGGAAGATGTCCCAAACCCCAAGAATTGTTCCTGGGCACAAGGACTTAATTTCCAAAAGGTAACTTTTCAAGTATTTTAACCCAGAATATCTAAAGTTGCACTTTAGATACCATATGGCTTCCAGATCTTTAAATATCTTCAAGGCTTAAAAGGCTTAATTTTGTTCAGTTCATTTTAATGAGTCTGTTCATCATTTGTCCTTAGTAATAGCTGGGTGTAGTCATTTGATTAGAGGAAACAAAGATCAGACCCTTATCCCAGGAGAACTGTCAAATACACATATCTCGGGGCTGGAGAGATGGCTCAGAGGTTAAGAGCACTGGCTGCTTTCCCAGAGGCCCTGAGTTCAATTCCCAGCAACCACATGGTAGTTCACAACCATTTGTAATGAGATCTGGTGTGTACAAGTGTGCATGCATGCAGAACACTGTTGTATACATAACAATTACATCTTTAAAGAAATACACCTATCTCTTTTTCTGGTCACAGTAAATAAAAAAACACTACAACAGGAAGGAACATTATAGATGGAAAATAAGACAGTTGACTAAATTTTCTTCAGTGTAAATGGGCTGTCTTTAAGCAAAAAGCTTAGAATAAATATTATGTTTCTACTATTTAATATTTACAGTTACTTGGAAGTACAGTGTTATTTTCAGGTGTTACCATCAGAAGGACACAATATGTAAAACTCACAGTGATGGTGATTTGTAATTGAAAGAAAGGTTTTCAACATTTTCAGTAACAGTTATTGTTTTATGTTATTGTTTACATATTTATACATTGTAGACTATTGCTGCCTTTGCATTACCCCTGGAGTATTGTGTCTTTGAATGTAGCAGAGAAAAACAAAGCTTATACTGGTGAGGCACTTTACTTTAGAACCAGGATTAGCTTCCCATTTGGAACTTATTCTAACTGTAACTGTTCTAGATATTGACATGACCCACAGGGAGAAATACATTTCCTCTTCCAGCCTAGCACCAATATATAAATATGGAAAAGTGAGAGAGAATTTGTGGGAAAAATCTTGCTGGGAAGAGAAGTGAGAATATTGAATGTTTTTAAAACTTTCAGTTTTTAAAAAAATGCTGTTGGCAGCCCACTAAAGGTAGTGGCACACGCCTTTAATCCCAGCACTCCGGAGGCAGAGGCAGGTGGATCTCTGAGTTCGAGGCTAGCCTGATCTTCAAAGAGAGTCCAGGATACCTTCCAAAGCAATACAGAGAAACCTTGTCTCAAAAAACAAAAAAACAAAACCCCCACAAAACAACAACAACAACAACAACAAACAAAAAACCTGATCCCCCAACATTCAAATGGCATATGGCTCGCAGACCTGGGAATACTGCATTGCAGTCAGTCCATGGACGAGCAATCAAGTGCTCTTGTAGGCACCGTGCACAGCTCACCTGGTTGAATCGGAGTCTGTGATCAGATGAAACAACACCTGTTTTCACTAGAGCCAGCTGTGCAGTTTTGCATTTAGCTATTCACTCTGTGGAACCTGCTTTTCCTAATGCTTGTCATCTGCCTCTGACTCCTCAGCTGTGCTCCTCCAGCCTCTCACCCTGGTTTCCTTTTATTTCAGCAGTGTTACTGAGTTTTTGTCAACTCACAAAATGAATTCCCCACAGTGAATTCATAGAGCCACATTTCTCATAATCGTGGTGATATCTCAGATATGCATGTGCATCATTCATGGATTTGTTCAATGGGCACAGAGTAGGTGCTTGTAGATAAGGAGAGATTGCTGCTAGACTTCAGGAGAACAGAATTTTAAGCACTCCTCATTATCTTCTAAGAAATAAGAGCAGGGTCACAGAAGGTTGAAGAAATAGGAACCTGTCTCTTTTTGCTTCTGTAATCCTTGTTCATTTCACTTGTGTATTCACTCGTATATTCATATTACTAGTTTATAATATTACAGAAAGCCTGTCCAATGCCAATCACTTTGCTATACATTGGAGCTCTATTGGTGAGAAGCACCGTGTGTGCTCCTGGACTGTACAATCTGGTAGGGAAGATAAACACCCATCAGTTTGTTATTAGAGATCTCTTCACAGCCGTAAGCTTAGTGTGCTGAGGGCTAGGATGTGGGAACCTGCCTTAGAGCACGGATGAGTATGAGCACGCATAATTAAGAGAGAGACATTTGATCTGGTTGTGGTGGGGCACACCTGAAATACATACCCAAGGGCTTGGAAGGCAGAAGAAGGGGAATTGTGAATTCCAGGGCTGCATAGCAGCTTTGAGGCCTGTGTAGCTTACATAGAAACACTGTTTCCCTAACAAGGACCTCTCAGGGTTCGGGCTAGGGGCTGACAGCAGGAGGGTAGGGCTGACTAAAAAGTCTGAGGGCCAAATGATTCAGTTCATACATGCATCACTCATGGTCTTTGCATCACTGGTGGCCTTTTATTCATTAAAAAAAGTTCTGGCCGGGCGTTGGTGGTGCACACCTTTAATCCCAGCACTCAGGAGGCAGAGGCAAGCTGATCTCTGTGAGTTCAAGGCCAGCCTGGTCTACAGAACGAGTGCCAGGACAGGCTCCAAAGCTACACAGAGAAATCCTGTCTAGAAAAACAAACAAACAAAAAAGTTCTTCCTCAAAAGTTTTTCTCTAAAAGTTCTCTTCTTAAAAATTCTCTCAGATCCCACAAAATTTCTGGTTTTTATATCCACGGACACAATTAACAATTCTCTGACAATGGCACAGATACTGTCTATGCGTATCTCTCAGAACCAGGAAGGCAGGTAAGGTCTTGACAAAAGCTAGGAGACCTCACTTGTAAAACTTGCAAACTTAAGTCTCAGAGGGGACGTGACTTGTAAAACCTGTGGGCAAACTTAAGGAGGTGGTGAGGGTTAAGGGGCTATGGTTTCTACAATGAGAGAAAGGGAATTAGTACATAAAACTACAGTTGTATGGTTAAACTAGAAGCTTATATTGGTAAATGTAAAACAAGAAAGAAACACTAGAACTGTATAATTGATAAATGTTAAAAAAAAAAAAAGGGAAGAAACACTGTGTGCATTGGGTTTTGCTTTTGCTTTCCTGGGCTGGAAACACAGCATCACAGTAGCCATGGAAACTTGCATAGGTTGCAAAAGGAGATCAGGAACTTGATCTGTATTAGAATTTTCTCCTAATATTAGAGCAAAGGGAGAGACTATGTAAGGTTCAGAGGCTCCAGCTTCTAGGCTGGGGTGCTCTTACTGCTGATGCCCGTGAGAAGGAATTTCCTTTCTCTGGGACATTTTTGAGAATAAAACGCACCTAGTATATACTCTGTGTATCAAGATTATACAACCAAATCCATAGCAACAGATATTCTGGAGACTGTATTTCTTGCAGAATTTGCAAGGCAAGTTTTCTTCATCAGAAGTTAATTCTGATAGGTTGATACCTAGAATATTAATTGCTACTTCTGTAATAAATGATAAAGTCTCTCAGAATTTCAACAAACAATAACAAGGGAAAGAAGAAAGAGAGAATGATATTTGAGTCAGATCTGGCTGATGATTAGCCATTACCTGATTCTGTGATGGAAGTGTAGACACAATTACGGTCAACTGGTCATGCATTCTCAAACTAAAAACACAAAGAACAGACTAGGAAAATTTTCCTCTTAAATATAAGTTTTTCTTTTTTAAATTAAAACAACCACATGCCTATCTAAGTAAAAACCATAAAGCTTCAAGGTAGTCATTTACTGCCTCTAAAAGGAAGCTAAACCTCTCTCCCTTCCACCACATGGTATATTTGACATTTTATCTTCACATTTTTCTGAAAAGGGAATCTAAAAGTCTTACCTAGACAGGGCATGGCAGGGCAGTGGTGGCATACACCTTTAATCCTAGCACTCAGCAGCAGAGAGAGGTGGATCTCTGAGAGTTTGAGGCCAGCCTGGTCTACTGAGTGACCTCCAAAGCTAAAGAGAAAACCTGTCTCAAAACAAAACAAAACAAAAAACACAACAAAAAAGGACAGGGAATAATTAGAGTGACCTCAGCAAATACACTTTAAACTTGTACCATGAGATAATTGTTTCCCCCTTTCCAGAAAATGCCTGGCAGTAATGAGAGACATAGGGTGGATTTATCAGTGAATGTCTTTAGACTCTGGCGTACCTGACTGTCTCACTTACCCCTTATTGGAGCTGAGTGTGTAGTAGAGTATCTGGAAGATATTTTAAGTAAATTGAAATACCACCCTAAAATTGCAGAGTCTGGTAATTTGAAGGGTTTTTTTTAAAAAAAAAGATTTCATTTACATATGTGTTTGTGTGCACACATGTGTGCAGGTACACACAGAGTCCTGAAGAGGGCACTAGATGCCCCAGAGCTGGAATTGACAGTTGTGAGCTACTTGACATGGTTTCTGAGAAATGAACTCAAGTTCTCTGGAAGAGCTGCAAGCACTGTTAACTGCTGAGCCATCTCTCCAGTCACTAAAGTGTAGATTTTTTTTAAAAATAAAAGGGCAATGGGTTATGATTATCCCCATTTATACCTTTGCAGATGCTTCACTTTCTCCTTTTCAGTATATGTGGTTACAGAGTTTTTTGTATTTTTAGGGTGTAACAAAGATACACCATTAAGAATCAATGACAAGGCCCGGTGGTGGTGGTGGTGGTGGTGGTGGCACACGCCTTTTATCATAGCACTTGGGAGGCAGAGGCAGGAGGATCTTTGTGAATTTGAGACCAGCCTGGTCTACAAGACCTAGTTCCAGGACAGCCTCCAAAGACACAGAGAAACCCTGTATCAAAAAAAAAAAACAAAAAAAAAAACAAAAAAAGAATCAATGACAAGATAGGCTGAGGTTGGGTTCTAACTCCATAACCAACCAGGTCTTATAAAAACCTGGATTCAAACTTAGGACCATCTGACTAAGTGATATCCTCACCATCAATTTCATATGAACATATCCTTGCTATCAATGTTATATTTAACATTGTACCCCCTAGTGTGGTTAATACTCATTAAATCACACACTTAAAGATAGATGAGATGGCCAGTTGTATGTTACATATATTTTAATACAGTTAAAAA